GTCTGCTGAAATGGTACAAGGGTTACATAAAAAATAAAAACGCCAAAGAATATATTTATGCGGAAGTTAGACATGAGCATCACTTCAAACATTACTATGTACAAATTGAACTGAGTGAATTGTTCCAGCTTTTCAATCTGCGCGAGCTCGATACTATCATCAGTTGCTACGTTCTGTAAGTGATTTATTAATTTCTACCCCATCTCGTTCATATTGCCTGCACTATATATATGTCCTAACTATATTGTTGTGTCCGCTATTATACATGCAGAATGAAGATTAAGGAATGCAGAGTAAGGAACATCCATGATGTTGGGTTCATTGACCCACACATCGTTAATGGACATGTGTTGGAGCGTTACCCCGCCGACGTGGAGGCAGACCTGTGGCAGTTTCTTACAAAGCAGGAACTCAAAAGTGATATTCTATTTCCTTACCATTTTGAGTGAGTGTTTCTGTCTTGAGCACATTCTCTTTTGTTTACTCCATGCATGGTATGTGGCCGGCTAATCGATGAGTTATGCATGACGTACTGTGCATGTATCGTGTCCGCAGGTTCCACTGGATTCTGCTAGTAGTTAAAGTTAACACCTCAGAATGTCTCGTCCACGACTCTGTGAATATGGATCCAAAGCTTTGGGGCGGCATGAGAAGAATGCTGCAGAAGTAATTATTTTCATTCATTTGCGCTCTATATCGATCGGCCTATTTCGTTCATTTCCTAATATCAAGTAACTAATTAATAACTCTCTTGTTCATTTAATTTTCTTTGCCTCGTAGGGTTTGGAGACGGTTCGTAGATACAAAGGTCGGTGAATTCAAAAAAGAGCTAGAATTCAAAATGTTAAAGGCTAAGAATGCTGGGGATATTCAGCCACCGGAGACCAATCTATGTGGATACTATGTCTGTGAGATGATCCGGAGATACACCTCTGAGCGGGTTCCGAGTGATACCAATGCTCAGAGGAATAACCTCCGGTGGATGCTTAGTCCAGAAGCTCGCTTCCGACCACTTCAAGAGGAACTAGCTGGATGGTTCAGCAGGGAAGTCCTCCATCTTAAAGGAGAACACTATTACGAGGACGTAGAACTTTATATGCATTAAATCATGTATGGAAACTTGTTCAAAATTGTATATGGTCATCCGATGATATTGAATATATATTGTATATTCCTGTTGAATTCTTTTTGGTTCTAATTTCAAATTTATTTGAAATTGTACATTCATATGCATGTATGTAGTACCGTAGAATATATGAAACTCCTTCAAAATTAAAATAAAGCACAAAAGAAATAAAACAATACAAATTAAACAGAAAACAGGTTTAAGGAGGGGGGGGGGCTAAAACCCTAAACCTGCGGCGGCCTTTAGTCGCGGTTGGCCAGAAGAACCGCGACTAAAGGTCCTCCGCCCCGACGGCCACCTGGCGCCCACGTGGACGGGCCTTTAGTCGCGGTTCTTAAGCAACCGCGACTAAAGGGGGGGCCTTTAGTCGCGCCCGTTCGGTCGCGGTTGCGCAACCGCGACTAATGGCAGTTGCGAACCGCGACCAAAGGCCCTTTTTCCACCAGTGCGAAATTTAGCCTGCCATGTATGTGAACATTTCTTCTGTTACAAGGGCTCTCCAGGCTTATGATCTTTCTAGGATAATTGATTGTTGAATCTGAAGGTATATAATCAGTTTGTTAACTCATGTATCTTTATGCATTTTTGTTCATCCTCAAAATATTGTTGCGTACTTTCCTTGTCCTACATTTATGACGTTGATGAGGAGGTTCAGTTCTTGTAGGCTGGGTAAAACTTGAGTCGCCTACAAATGATTTTGCCCGTTTGTCGAAGGTTTTTCTGGGCTTGTGCATGGCGAGCCCGATGGGCTGCTTATGAGCAGTTTGCACTGTAGGTTGTCAAATCCTTGCAAGATAGAATGTGTTTTTTGCATTTTGGGCTTACAATGGAGTAATCAACAGCTACGACCATGCAGGTATGAACTTTGTATGAGAGGCTAAGCTAGGCATGGCGACATGGACATGGTAGTTGGTTTTGCTAGATTTCATGTGTCTATCCATCCATACTATCTCCAGCAATGCGTATTTTTTCCATGTATCTCTCATTCTTCCATGTAGCTAGAGACTTATAATAACCAACGGAACTTTCTCAGTTTTGTGTTTTCGCTCTTCTCAGATTTTAGGCTGGGTGTATAGAGATGTGCGGCACACACTGAATTTAGATTTCAGTAGGAATATATCATTGTGCCATGTTCAAAATTAGCACTACACAGAAGAATGAAATTTTGTGATTAAGCTGTTGTGGTGTTTCTTTTTAAATAAATGGCATGCTAACTTGATGGTTTAATTTAGGTGTGTAGGATAGTGTCTCCTCTCCGTTGCAACAAACAACTTTCTCAGGTTTGTCCAGTGGTTTGATGCAGCTGAACCATAGAGGAAACCAATAGCTATTCTGAATAATTATGACTGTTCTCAGTTGAACCACACCTGTACTAGCTGAACCAAGGAAGCAACTTATGATCAAACCTGACAATGGTTAGCATGATCAGGTATGTACTTCTTAACTTATCCTGATTTCTGTTTCTGTTTTTTTCTTTCGGTTTGTATCAAACTGATAATGTTTGCATAAAGGTTGGAGGCGTTATTTCTTGTGAGGAGGTCTTTTTGCTCAGTCTTGGTTTACTAGCTTCATCAGGTTTTGAAGTGTCGGCATGGTGTAGAAGCCTAGCTGAACCAAGGAAGCAACTTATGATCAAACCTGACAATGGTTAGCATGATCAGGTATGTACTTCTTAACTTATCCTGATTTCTGTTTCTGTTTTTTTCTTTCGGTTTGTATCAAACTGATAGTGTTTGCATAAAGGTTGGAGGCGTTATTTCTCGTGAGGAGGTCTTTTTGCTCAGTCTTGGTTTACTAGCTTCATCTGGTTTTGAAGTGTCGGCATGGTGTAGAAGCCCGGTCAGTTTTCTTGGTCTGTGAATTTAAGAATTAGAAGCAGCAGGCGGCAGCTCAGATTAGCACCATGTGTACGATCTCATCTCACTGCTGTCTATATTCCATTTTTAGATTCGAAAATGATTCCGATGATTCTTGTCTGCCTTGGGCAACCTTTCCATTTCAGCCTCATGTAGGATTTTGATCCCCGTGATCTTCCTTGCATAGATGACCTACTCCCAATCCTCCTTACCTCCCCTCTGACTCCTTTATGTCTCAGTGGTTTCCCAGGCTTTCATTCAAATTTGGCATGATTTTTTGGTACACATTACCCAACCAACGCCCTCCCTTTCAAAGGAAAATGATGATTTTTTGTACTTAAGTGTGTTGTGTGCTGTCTGTGGCACTGTGTTGGATTTTTAGAGAAAATATCATTGTTGCTTCACTGCTATGTGTGGTTTGATTTGATGCTCTGTTCAGAAAGAAACAAGTTTAGAACGGTAAATTTTAGTTAAGCCCCATTGTTTTGCTTTAGGCTATCCTTTGTATTTTCCTTGTCATGTTTCGTGCTTCATAGCATGTGTATGGAAGCATATAAATACAGCAATATAAACTGCAGTTGTAGTATCACATTTTTCTATCATAAATGTGTAGAAATTTGAGAGCTTAACAGGAGAATAGAATCAAGGAGAAGAATGAATGCTTAGTTTTATGCGTATGCATGTAGAAGCATCTCCTTGATCATTGATCACGGCAACTAGGAATCCATCATACATCTATACTATCTGCACAAGCACACATAATTCAGTAATTAAACTATTTATGGTTTCTGAGAACACCAATAGATAGCTAATATATCTACTTGTTGAGTTAATGAGGTGACCCGCATGTCCATCTCTGAAAAATACAGTAAATACCTATCCTGAAGTTAAAACTTATGTACCATTTTACCCTATTCCGGTAAACACCTATCTTAATAAGCGCGTAGTTTAGAAATGAACTTCACAGATAATTGTTCATGTTGTTTGAATCATAATTGAATGAGGTGTGGTTATTCTTAATTTTAACTGAGTGGTACGACTGCAAATTAACGGTAAGTTGTTGGTAAACACCTTCTTTTTGGAAACTTGATAGTGCTCATTGGTTTTATTCCTATATGCTGACATTATAATTCTCTGTTGACCTGATCATGCAAATCCTACCTTTCCGGTCAGGTCACTACTACATGTTGGTTGACTGATCCTATCCCAAGATCGGTCCCCTCCTGAGCCATTTGATCACCAAATGTGCACGCAAACGCCTCCCTCCCATCCCCATCTTCCGCAGCTCTCACACGCTGCTGCGTGGTGCGCTCCCTGAGCCACCCTCGTCGGCCACACACAACCTTATGACCAAACTTTTGTACCATTACTATATTACGGGTGTTCTCTGTTCTCAGCGTTCTCTGTTAGTTTTCTATCTCTGGTCTTATAGTTTATTCTTTAGAATATCGCCAAGTCATGGCTGTAATCGAACATATAAATCACGCTTCATTTAGAGTCAACAAAAGAATGGAGTAACAGGGTATGGGCTTCGTTTAGAGTCAACAAAAGAAAAGTTTTTTTCAGAGTAATTTTTAGTTCACTGTTTGCTTCGACTTTTGTGACTTATGATGTTTGGATCAAGGATTTCAAGATTTCCTGTTTTTATTATTGATGATGGAAGATGGATCAGATTTATGCCTGTTCTAAACCATTTATTCTCTGTTTGGGCTGTAATTTCTAAGTTAGCTTTCTTAGTAAAGAACTTAATAAAGCTTTGTTGCTACAGACTATTTTATCTTTTCTTGGATAAGATTATATTCTTTAGCTCGTGAGCTGACCTATTTGTGATTTGTACCTCAGTTGACGGGATATCTCATAACTGAAACCATGAACAACAAGTGCTTCGGTTCTGGTGTTGGCGATCCATTGCTTGAGGCGACATCATGTGCAAGATTATTCTCCTGGAGGCCACTGGCATGGTGGCACCGTCCTCGGCCTGCTGATCCCATTACCCAGGTTAGCTTATTCCCCTTTCCTCATGCATGATTCCTATTTTTGTGTTGCTCTGTTCGATTTGGAGTTTCCCCCATGTTCCATGAGATGCCTTGGAGATGGCTGAGGTCTCCTTTTAGAATGTGATTTATGTGGTGTTCACGGTGAGATAAAGTTCGAGGTCCATTTGATCCGTAGTTATTCTTCCAACATATTTTGTGGCTCTCAAAAAATTTGGATGACATCCCGAATTGGAACTGGGCGAGGTATGTCATGAACGACATTATATCAGCAGCACGGGCATTGGGCAACAAACTCACTGTTGAGACAAAATCCACCTTTTTCCTATAAACCTTGCTAGGCTACCCGCTATTCTGAGGCTCCCGCGTGCACTACCCTCTGTCCTGAATTATTTCCCCATTTCTCCTTGGTCTAAACTCTAAAAATCCACATAAGATTCCAGGAAGGTTTAGCTCAGCTAGATTTTGTCATGTATTTAAAACAAGTTCATGTATAATGTTTTATAAATAATTCAATTGAGGTAAATCAACAAGTCTATATTTGGTTTAGCATGGATTTTTGGGGATTCAATCTTCGTTTTTGCTAGCTGGAATTTGAGTCAAGAAATCTGATAGATATCTAAGCTAAATTTTGTATTGTTGCACCAATAGCAATTGTAAGTTCTTTCTCACTTTCCAGCTAAGTCCCCATTTAATATGGTTCTATATTGGTTTCTTTAATCTGATACTTGTCTAAAGAGATCATTTTAAGTTCTGCTAATCACGAGTTGACATCAAAATTCCTTCGAGTCTCATTCAATATTCTTTCTTACTATATTACCTAATTAAGTGACAATAAGGCAAAAACAAAGTTGAAGCATCAGAATGTGCCGTCGATCAATATTTTAGTTAATAGATCGTGAAATTGAAAAGGTTAGTTTGCTCTCTCCAAGAAACATCATATCTTAAACCATGTTCACACGCGCCATCTAAACCTATGTGATGCCTCTTTGTTCAGTTTTGATGAGGTGTGTGCAGAGAAAAGGCAGCATAAAGTTGGTCCAAAGAAAACAGTGAATATTAACCTGGGAAGGGTGTGAAAATTGAGCTGCAAGGAAAACCGTAGCAACTTTTTCCTTTTTTCTCTCCTGAAAATTTATATACAATGAGAAAGTTGATATTAGCATGTGGCATACGTCACGAAGGAAGCTGCACTGAATGAATCAAGGAAAATCTGAAACTGCAGGTCAAACCTTCATCACCGCATTCGCGCCAAAGTGAGCTCAAATGAACCATGGGATATCAGTCAACATAATATCCATAGATATATCCTCAACCCTGTAACCAAAACTATTATAACCTTTCCAAGATGCACTATAACTTTATGGATCATAATTTAGCAACTGAAGAGTGGACAAGGAAAAAAACTCTTTAGTTTAGTTAGTTTGAAGCCAAATTCTAATCATACAACTGAAGCCGAAAAGATTCTATGGGGTCCAGCTCCTAATGATTGATGATTTACATTGCGTCTAATTCCAGTTCAAAAGTCTTTCACTTGATTGGTTTGACCTCTTATTTTTAGATGGTATTAGTAGTCAGTTGAGCATCGATTTTTGGATGGTATTAGTAGTCAGTCGAGCATCTTGCATCTTGCATATTTTGAGATGATATTAGTAGTCAGTCGAGCATCGATTTTTTCTGTGTTCACTGCAAGTTTTTTTCTTTCAAAATTCATCTTTCTTTGTGCTAAATGTTCTTTCTTACTGAACCATCACTCCAATTATAGGTTGCGTGTTGCACCTAAAGGTTGGATATATGGTGATATGGTAATGCCGATTTCGGAAAGCAGGTGTACAGCGTGTGTAAATTAAGAAAACAATTTATAATCTGTGATGTGATCACTGCATTTTAATTTAGTATATGCGATCCCCTCAAGTAGGGGAGTATTGAATGCACCTCTCTGGCAAGTGTACGCATAAGGGTGCCATTTTTTACTCAATCGATTTCAAAGCAAGGCATGAGACTGACATACACTCTTTAATTGCATCGTGTAAAGATATGTGGTGTGAGGGGAAGGAGAAATGTGGGAGCTCATATTTTAAAGTGATGGCCGAGTTGACAATGCAGCCATTATTTGGGCAAGTATTCTTAAAACTGGAATTGCATGCAGTTTAATGACTATATAGTTGGTGAATCACTATCAGTATACTGGATCTAGCAACTGGTGAGATCATGGTAATGTAGGTGACTGATGTTAGCAAAGTTTAAATTGATTACCCCTGGGACCGATGATCTCCATCTCCTTATTGTGGACGTCGTGGTTCAGTACTGAGGGCCTGGGGGCAACTCTCTTCCACCATGTATGTTGAATGCATTCCATCTGAAACAACGTTAAGTGCGTGCTTAGGGCAGGTAAGACAATGGTGGCTGCGTGGTTGGTTGACGTGTCGCGACGCTACCCGATGCCATGTATTGCTGGATTGACAAGCTTCATTGAGCTCTATGCGGTGGGTGCATCGATCCTATCTACGTCTGTCAAAGTTGGTAACTAAAGCAGTAAGTTAAGCCTGAAGGGAAGCTCCACCCAACAACAATCTGCCATTCTCCTCCACGGTGCAACATAAGCGGCGTCTATAAAAATCAGCGCCTAATCCAACGACATCGTTGCTCAAGAAACACCGTACCGAACACAGCCCACGACAACAAATCTAATACCAGAGGAAACAATACAAACCAGATCGCACGCAGGGCAAAGCAGCAGGCCGAGCAGACGCACGGCGAGATGGATTACCAGAACAACAACGGCGCAGCAGGCCGAGAAGACGCAGGGCGAGATGGATGACCAGAACAGCAACGGCACAATTCGCGTGGACGTATGGTCAGTGGGATGGTAGTATGGTCAGTAATACAACAATCGGCTATAAGGCCACATGTACAACAGTAAATTTTAACTGTGTACTGCTCCCTTTGTTTCCAAATATAAGTCCGCAAAGCAAAATGGGTGAATTTACACTCTAAACTATGTTTCTGTATGTAGTTCACCATGAAATCTCTACAAAGACTTGCATTTAGAAACAGAGGGAGTACATTATTAATAGTTGGCCTACCATACAGCCTCACAAAGTGTCTTGAGTCTTGTGCTGCAGCTGGCTAATAATCAACAACCCGCTTCTCTTCTCTCTCCTCCAACTAAGCAAATATATAATATTTTAGTCCTTATAGCCTGTTTATGTCACCTTATTGTATTTGCTCTTATGTCGGTGTGCGAAACGGGCCGTCGTGCCAGCCTGTTTAGCGAAGGGCCGATCCTGGGCTAGGGAGGGCGCGACCCGAGTACTTAGCGTGCTTGACCGGGTCGTGCTGTGCCTGGCCCTTTTAACCAAGGCTGGGCCGGTCCATTTGGCCAGGTTTGCACACATGGAAGTCCACACACACCCGACATGCATAACGTTGTGGCCCACCACGCGTCCACCCTTGAACAGCGGGTGCCACCAAGCAAACGCATTTAAGAGCGCTCCCAGCCATCTATTTCCAGTGAGTTTTTTTAGGGTCTATATTCTCAGGGATTGTTTTTTCACATAAACAAGTGTAACGATCCAGTCAAAATCGTACCGCTCAATTGAACGAGGAAGTTCCTACCCATATGAACTTTCTTTACCAGTAAATTTAGATCTATTATAAAAGTTCATCAGAAGTGCAAAGCATCTTAAACATACTACAAATTACAGAGATTCCGAGACCACCAAACGATAATTACTGTTGTCAGAACTCGTAGATAAAGCCACACATAATTAGATAAACTTCATAATCTTACTGCTTATTTGAAGATGATCCCAGTCAAACAGGCGGAACTCGACGGTACCGATGATGTTGATATCAACCATATGACTCAGGCTCATGCCAATAGTTATCGCTATGGTAACTGTGTTATTCCAATTCTATATAATTCACATCATTTCACCCCAGCTTAATACCCCTCTTGTCATTTATAGAACTGCCACCTTGCCGCGAGCACAAGCAGCCCCTAGAATATATTCATCGCCCACGCAAGGCTGGGTAAGTCCCAAAGTTCAAAGGGAAAAAATCCATTTGAAAGATGGAAAGTACATTACTCGCAGTAAAAATTCTTATTACTTTCCTGTTTGCAGCAACTCCTCCGACAAATACTAAATTCTATAGTTCTGTGTAAATTGGCAGGCAAGCTTGGTGAGAACTACTTAGACGAGTTCGCTGCCCACTGTGTGTGGGCAAATACATTTAAGTTGTATAACAAAAATATTCGCAATCTTTGAAATATCATCAAAGACAAGAAAACTCCTAGCCATTACTACGTATGCCACATGACAGAAACATTTGCTACTGACGGCGAAAGAATGGTAATCTTAAACAAATGCATTCTTGTGTTTCCTACAAGAACATGCCAGCAAACCATATACTGAATAATCTTTATCTTCATTTGCAGTACTTTAGCACACACTTTTCTAAGAGAAGCCTCTTCCCGCACATGGATGCTGAACATGATGAGCTACCGATCAGTACAGGAGATGGGACCACTAGTGTCATGGCCCACTTTATCAAGGGCGTCAACAACAAGGCTACACTCACAAAGAACTGGAGCAGCTTCTTCATAAGGCAAACATGAAGAAAGGATGTGCATATGCTTTCGCCTTCAAGTGCACGTCTAAAGGCCTCTGCATGATTGCCTATCCAATCTAAGCAGATCACAATAGTCCTTTGCTACGTAACTTGGTATTACTAAAAGTACCTATCAAGACTTTTATATCTGGCATCATTTTGGATCTTATGTAAAAAAGATTATGACAATCCTGTCTGTATGACTATTATCAATCCGTATTTTTTTTATGTTTCCTTTCGTGTTTACATATTTTGATGCACACTCTTTTTATAATTGGTTTGCTCTCGGCCTTTGCGCCATGGGCGCAACGGGTCATCTAGTTCGGTGAAAGCATGGCCTAGTGCTTACAAACATCTTCTCTCCGTTCATCGTATTACTATTGATAATCATGTCTTCCTTGAGTTTCACCCCTTCTATTTTTTGATCAAGGATCAGGCAACGAAGAAGGTGCTTTATCGAGGTAGATGTGTTCGCGGGCTTTACCCCTTGATTCCGGAGATTAGAAGGTTCAATAAACAAGTTTCCAGTGCCACCAAGCTATCTTCAACACGGTAGCATGATTGATTAGGGCATGCAGCTTTTCCTTTAGTTGAACATTTGTTTAGGAGGAATAAACTCTCATATGTTGGAGAGCGTGAAGTCAAAACAA